GGTAGGGAGTTCGGAATCTGGTCAGGGGGGGAAGGGGAAGCGGGAGGGGTTGCACAAGATCAGGGGGGGGAAAGGAGGTGGGGTCGCGCAAGAAGGAACGCGAGGGGGAAGAGGGATCGCGCGAAGGGGGAAAGATTGGGCGAAGGGGGAAGACGTGCGGAGCGGGGGCGGGGTGGGAATCGGGGTAAGCGCGGCGGAGAAAAGCGGAGTCGGGGGGGAAGAAGGTAATGAGAAGAGAAAATCGTCGAGGGAAAAGAAGAGTCGATAGTTTGAAGAAAAGGAAGAGGAAAAAAAAAGTGGAAGAGGAAGAAATGAAGAAGAAGGAGAGGAGAGAGAAGATAAAAGGAAGAAAAAGAAAGAAAAGAAAAATTTTGTTGCTTACCTGGCGGCGCGCGGCAAAGGATCAAGGCGGATCTTCAACGACGACGATGACGTGGCGCGATGACGACAGTCGCGACGATGACGATGATGAAGTGGCACGAAGGCGACGATCACGACAACGATGATGACGTGCCACGGCGATGACGATCACGACGATGGCGACGAGGTCGGCGGCGACGATGATGAATCAGGGCGGGAGGGAGGGCCAAAGCCGCTCCGATACCAGTGTTACGAGCGGGAGGCTGAGGGAAACAGGGAGACCCGAGGGAGCGGAGAGATGGAGAGAGTGAGAGCACACACACACACTCACTCACTCGACACGACTGAGGGTCGGACGCAGACACACGGGCAAGGACACAAAGTCGAAGTCTTGCATTCCGAATGTCGAAACAGCAAGTCACACTGAGTATGAGTACAGCAGCAGAGAATTGGTACGAGACTGGTCCCCGTACCGTACGGGGAGCCGATATAAGTACTGGTGACACGTACGGTACCAGGGGCATTTTTGCAAAGACCCCGAGGGCAGAACTTAAAAATGAAGTATTTGAAAGTGGCGCCCGAATTGCAGAATGGCAGCAGTTGTTGAAAATCCCCCGGGGTTTGGAAAAAGGGTGCCAGGCCAGAAACGGGATGCAGCCGAAAGAAGCAAATGATAGACCAGGGATCGAGCCCTGGCGAAGTCCGTCTTCGTCTTCGTCTTCGTCTTCGTCTTCGTCTTTGTCTTCGTCTTCGTCTTCGTCTTCGTCTTCTGCTTCTTCGTCGTCGCCGTCTTCTTCTTCTTCTTCTTCTTCTTTTTCTTCTTCTTCTTCTTCTTCTTCTGCTTCTTCTGCTTCTTCTTCTTCTTCTTCTTCTTCTTCGTCGTCGTTGTCGTTGACGTCATCGTCGTCATCGTTGTCATCGTCGTCATCGTCGTTGTCGTCGTTGTCTTCTTCTTCTTCTTCTTCTTCTTCTTCTTCTTCTTCTTCTTCTTCTTCGCCTTCGCCTTCTTCTTCTTGTTCTTCACCTTCGCCTTCGCCTTCGCCTTCTTCTTCTTGTTCTTCGCCTTCGCCTTCGCCTTCTTCTTCTTCTTCACCTTCTTCGCCTTCTTCGCCTTCGCCGTCTTCGCCTTCTCGCCATCTTCTTCTTCTTCTTCTTCTTCTTCTTCTCATTCTTCTTCTTCTTCTTCTTCTTCTTCTTCTTCTTCTTCTTCTTCTTCTTCTTCTTCATCTTCTTCTTCGTCGTCGTCGTCATCGTCGTCGTTGTCGTCATCGTCGTCATCGTTGTCATCCTCGTCGTCGTCGTCGTCGTCGTTGTCTTCTTCTTCTTCTTCTTCTTCTTCTTCTTCTTCTTCTTCTTCTTCTTCTTCTTCATCGCCTTCGCCTTCGCGTTCTTCTTCTTGTTCTTCGCCTTCGCCTTCGCCTTCTTCTTCTTCTTCACCTTCTTCGCCTTCTTCGCCTTCGCCGTCTTCGCCTTCTACGCCGTCTTCGCCTTCTTCGCCGTCTTTTTCTTCGCCGTCTTCTTCTTCGCCGTCTTCTTCTTCGTCGTCTTCTTCTTCGTCGTCGTCGTCTTCTTCTTCTCCTTCTTCTTCTTCGTCGTCGTCGTTGTCTTCTTCTTCTTCTTCTTCTTCTTCTTCTTCTTCTTCTTCTTCATCGCCTTCGCCTTCTTCTTCTTGTTCTTCGCCTTCGCCTTCGCCTTCTTCTTTTTCTTCACCTTCTTCGCCTTCTTCGCCTTCGCCGTCTTCGCCTCTTACGCCGTCTTCGCCTTCTTCGCCGTCTTTTTCTTCGCAGTCTTCTTCTTCGTCGTCTTCTTCGTCTTCGTCGTCGTCTTCTTCTTCTCCTTCTTCTTCGTCTTCTTCTTCTTCGTCTTCTTCTTTTTCGTCGTCGCAGTTCTTCTTCTTCTTCTTCTTCTTCTTCTTCTTCTTCGCCTTCTTCTTCGCCTTCTTCTTCGTCGTCGTCTTCGTCGTCTTCGCCTTTGTCGTCTTCGTCTTCGTCCTCTTCTTCTTCATCG